CGCGTCCGTCGCGGCGCTCGCGGCCGCGGCGCTCCGCCTCGACGGCGTGCTCGCCGCCGCCGCGGCGCCGGCCGCGCCGGACTCCGGCGGGGCGGAGCGGTCGCTCGCGGCGGCGCTCGCGGCGAACCGCGACGTCGCGGCCCGGGAGCGCGCGCTCGCGGACCGCGGCGCCCAGCGGGACGCGGCCGTCCGCGACGCGGCCGCGGCCGCGCTCGCGCGCGAGCTCGACGCGACGCGCGAGAGGCTCTTCGACGAGGGCGCGCGGCGCGGCGCCCTCGAGGAGGAGCTCGAGGACGTCGTCGGCCAGCTCGTCGAGGCCAAGGTCGCGACGGCGGAGCTCGCGACGCGGAGCGCGGTCAAGGTGAAGTCGCGGTCGCCCGAGGCCGCGGCGGCCGCGGCCGCGGCCGCGAAGGCCTTCCTCGGCCAGCTCGACGCGACGGCGGCCGCCGACGCCGCGGCGGCGCGCGAGCGCGCGGCCGCGGCGGAGGCGGGCGAAGACAACGCGAAGCTCCGGGCCGACCTCGACGCGGAGCGCGTGAAGCGCCTCGACGCCGTCGAGGCGCTGCTCTCCGAGGAGAAGAAGCATCGTGCGGCCCTCGACCGCGTCGCGGCGCTCCGGAGATCGCGCCGCGGCGGCGACGACGGCGCGTCCGTCGCCGACTCGCGGCTCTCGTCGGAGCTGCGCCGGTCGGGAGCGCAGCTCGCGGAGCTCCGCCGCGTCGACGGCCGCCTGCGCCGCGAGGCGGACCTGCGGCCCTTCCTCCGCTACGAGGACACGCCGGGCACGTCCTACGAGGAGTGGCGCTCCGTCCGGTCGGAGCCGCGGGTCGAGACGCGCTACTTCTACTCGTCGCCGTCCGCCCCCCGCGCGCCCGCGGCCCGCGACGCGGCGCCGCGGCCCCGCGAGGCGCCGCCTCGCGCGCCGCGGGGCGCGCCGGCGACGGGCGGCCGCCCGCGGCCGGCGCCCGCGGCGGCGCCCGCGACGGCGAAGCCGCGCGGCGGCGTGCGCTTCAACCTCGCGTCCCTGCTCGCGCGCGCGCTCACGCCGGGCCGGAGCCGCCGCCGCGAGGGCGCCGCGCTGACGTCGCGCCGCGGCGGCCGCCCGGGCTCCGCGCGCCGCGCCGCGGCCCGGCCGCCGGAGCCCGACGAGTGGCCCGCGCCCCTCGACGAGCCGCCCCCCGCCGAGCCGCGGCGCCGGCCGCCCCTCGACGAGCCGCCGCCGCGCGCGGTCCGCGACGCCGCGCCGCCGCCGTCGCCGCGCACCGTCACGCGCCGCCGCGGCGAGAACTTGCGGCGCGCGCGCGCGCTCCAACGGCGCCGCGCGGACGCCGAGCCCGACGCGCGCGGCGAGCGCGCGCCGCGCGACGAGCGCCCCGCGACGCCCGCGCCGCCCGCGGCATCCCCGCCGGCCGCGAGGCCGCTCAGCGACTGGTCGTGACCGCGCCCGCCCCGGGCGAATTAACGGGCCTCTCGAATTCGACCCCCGGCGGGCGCATTGCTGGGCATGTTGAAGTTCCCAATGCCATTCCAAACGGGTCGGGGCAGCCCTGGGAATGCTAATGCCACGGCGTCTGTGTGGAAATGAAATCTTCAACCCGACTTCAATGTGCGCGTAATCGAACGATTCGGACCAGACTCTTTCGCTGTGCTTCGAGAACTCGACGAGAGCAATCGATCCGTCCAAAAATCAGCCGAATTGACTTCGATTTGATTGAGATAGAGAGTTCCGATGTTTGGTGGGGACCCCCCAAACCAGTGGTTGATTTCCACACAGGTCGCCGTCAACTTCGCGGGCGTCTTCCTGCTCCTCTTCGCGCTCTACTGCCTCTTCGCCGCCTGCAAGGCCGCGGTCAACGTCTGCGCGCGCCGGGCCTACGAGGAGGACGAGCACGACCGGAGCACGTGGTACGAGCGCGAGCGCGAGTCCGTCGACGAGGAGTTCGGAACCGTCGAGCTCTCGCTCCGCGCCGCCGCGCGCGCGCGGGGCGCCGTCGAGCTCCAGACGAAGCGCAAGGTCGCCGACGCCGCCGACGAGGCGCCGGCGGACGCGTTCTCCGTCGCGAACCCCATGGAGCGGACGCCGCGGACGCCGCGGACGGCGATGGCCGAGGCCGCGGACGCGTTCTCCGTGGTGAATCCCATGGCGCGGCGCTCGACGACGTCCGTGTAACACGCATGTCCCCACGTTTAGTTCGGGGCCAGGACGGCGGCGATGGCCGCCTTGGCGCGGGGGAACGTCGCCGCGGCGTCGAGGCCGCTCCCGGCTGCGAACGCGTCGACGTCGAGCGCGAGCTGCGCGGCGATCTTGAGCGCGTCGCCGGCGACGTCGGCGTGCTTGTTGCGCTTCGCCATGGTCGCCTCGAACCTGGCCGCCTGGTCGAGGACGTCGAGGACGAGCCCCTCGTACGTCGCGGCGGCGGCGGCCGCGGCCGCGGCCGCGAGCGCGCGCGCGTCCGCGAGGTGGCCGCCCCAGTCGCCGGCGAAGGCCGCGCCCGGCGCCAGCGCGTCCGACACGTAGCGGCTCGGCGCACCGGGCGGCGGCTTGCCCGTGAGGTGGTACGTCGCGGGCACGCCCTTGACCGCGCGGAGCCGGTCGACCGCCGCGGCCGCGAGCGTCGCCTCGAGCCGCTCCGCCGCCGCCGCCCGGAGCCGCCGGCCCGGCGCCAGGGCCGCCCGCGCGCCCGCCGCGACGGCGTCCGCCGTGGCCAGGTCCAGGTCCAGCGACGCCTCGAAGCCCGCGGCCAATCGGACGCCGACGGCGGCGTCGAACGCGTCGAGGTCGAAGGCGAGCTGGCCCAGGCGCCGCGGCGGCCAGTCCGCCGTCGCGTCCCCGAGGCGCCGCGCCGCGTCGCCGACCACGAGGCCCACGAGCTCGAAGGCGAGCCCCGCGAACTTGTCGCCGACGGGCGCGAGCACGACGTCCGGCGCCCACGTCCGCGCGACGACGCCGAGCGCGCTCGCGACGCGGTCCGACACCTCCGGCGGCCCCCGCCGCGGCCCGTCGACGAGCACGTAGGTCGCCGCGAGCGCGTCGTCGAGGTCGCGGACGAGGTCGCCGCGGACCAATTCGAAGTACACCGGCAAATTCCACCGCTCCTCGAGCGTCGCCGTCGCCGGGTGCGCTTTGAGGCGCCTGCGCACGCGCCGCGCCAGGGCGCGGTCGCCCGAAGCGGCCAGCGCCGCGAGGTCGTCGGCGAACTTCGCGGACGCCGCGTACGTCCGGTGCGCCGTCGCCGCGTTGCCCAGGTCGAAGACGCCGTCGAGGCCGCCGAGCGCGGCGCAGACGGGCGCCCAGACGCCGTGGCACACCAAATCGACGCCGTGGAGGCTCCGGTCCGCGGCGCCGGCGCCGCGGCGCCAGTCCGCGATCGCCGCGTCCGCCGCCGTCTTTTCGGCCTCGGCGCCGTCGCCCGCGGCCGCGGCCTCGGCGGCCGCGAGGGCCGGCCCCGCGCGCTCGGCGACGAACTCGAGCGTCGCCCGGAAGATCGTCGCGAGGCCGCTGCAGGAGCCGCGCTCGACGCCGTCGAGGCGGCCCTGCGTGAACGTCGCCGCGAGGAACGCCGCCAGGGCGCGCTCCGCGAAGATGGCCTCGAGCCGCGGGCCGAGGCCCAGGGCGCCGCCGGCGCGGAGCACGCGGCGCCGCGCGGCGCCGTCGGCCGCGCCCGCGTCGCGGACGCAGGTCGCGACGAAGGCCGCCTCGACGGCCGCGGCCGCGGCCGTTGCGGCCGCCTCGACGCGCGGCCGCGACGCGCGGAGCCGGCCGACGAGCGCGCCGTCGCGCACGAAGTCGACGGCGCCGTCGAGCTGGGCGCGCAGGGCCAGCGACGCGTGGGCGCAGCGCTCCACGGCCACGTCCGCCGCGCCGAGGTCCGCCTCGAGCTCGGACAGCAGCCGCTCGAAGCGGTCGACGGCCGCGCGCTCGAGGCGGTCGCGGCGGTCCGCGCGCCGCCGTTTCAGCTCGTCCTCGAGGCCCCGGCGCTCGTGGGCCCGCAGGCCCGCCTGCTTCGACACCTCGCCGTGGAGGGCCAGCAGCGCGGACCGCGACTCCGCGCACTCCTGCGCGGCGGTTTCGGCGTCGCGGCGCGCGCGCGCGGCGGTCTCGGGGGCGGGGCGTGCCGCACCTCGGCGGACGTGTCGAGGGACTGGGCGAGGGAGAAGAAGTCGCGGTAGTTCTCGGCGATGAGGTCGAAGAGCCGCGCGTCCTCCGTCTTTTGGGCCGTCTTCAAGGCCGCCTGCATGGCCTCCATGTTCAGCGACGGTTTCGCCTCGTGGAGCCGCGACAGGAGCGCCGACCCGCCGAGGCCGTCGTCGAGGGCCGCGGCGACGTGGGCCTGGACCTCGGCGTCGTCGTCATTCGGCTGCGGCGACGCGGCCATCTCGCGCGGTGAGGAGGTGACGGCGGAGTTGCCGGCTCGATCTATAGATTGCTGCAGCATCAGCTCTGAGATTTGCCCAAGCATAATCTCCAAGCATATGGGGACACCGATTGCTAGCTGCGCTTCGTAAGCGCAGCAACTCGGCCAACATTGCGCTAGCTGCGCTTCGCAATGAACAAGGCAATCATGCCCAGCAGCGCGAAACGTGACATGACCGTGCGCCTGGTGCTCACGCTCGCACTGCTGCCGCGCGCGAGACCGCTATCAACGCGACGCCTCGCGCCGCGCATGGGCCCGTTGCCCTGGGGCAAGCGGCCCTGCCAGGACCTGCTCGCGGAGATCCGGCGCGCGGAGCCCCGGCCGCTCGGCGCGGGTTTGGTCGAGGTGCACCCGCTGCGCCACCTCGTCTGGGCGCCGCCCGAGGCGCGCGCCGCCGACGGGGGCGCCGCGCCGCCGCGGCCGCAGGACTTCGACGCCGCGAACTCGGCCTGCGCGATGCACGCGTGCGTCGGCGTCGACTGGCGCCGGGCCTTCGACGTCGCCGTCGCGCTCGAGGACGGCGCGGCGCGCCCCGCGGACGCGGCGGCGTACGCGAGCGGCGGGGACTGGGTCGTCGCCGACGCGCGGTCGCTCGAGGTCGTCGTCGCGCACGCGTGCCTCGACCGGCGGCTCGCCGTGCGGCGCGTCGCGCGCGGCCCGGGCGTGCGGCTCGACGCCGCGCGCGCGGCGCCCATGCTCCGGCGCGCGGGGCTGGCGCCCCCGCCGAGCGCCCCCGCCGGCGCCTTCCCGGGGCCGCGCGTCGCGGCGGCGGCGCTCGCGAGCACGCGGGACCTGGAGGCGCCGGTCTGGCCCAAGGCGTTCCACTTCGCCAAGGCCTTCGCGGGCCTCGACGCGGCCGCGCGAGACGCGCGCTTCGGGGCCGTGCCCCTGCGGCGCCTCGAGAGCGGCGTCTGGGCGACGGGCTCCCGCCATCGGCCCATGGGCGCGCTCCTCGCCGGGGCGGACCTGCTCTGCCGCCCCGTCGCGCGGGACGCGGCGTAACTCGAAGTTCGTCGCAGACCCCTTACTGCTTCTGCCTGCCGCGGATGAGGTGCGTGAGGATCATGTCGAGCTTGCTCGTCTGCGCCTGGACGGCGGCCTCGAGCGCGCCGACGCGCGCGCCGAGGCTGCGGACGTCCTTGCGCACGCGGTCCCGGTGGCGCTTGGACCTCGCGTGGCCCTGGCCGCGGCCGAGGGGCTCGAGCTTCTTGGGCGCGGCGCCGGCGCCGCCCGCGGCGGACGGCGGCGGCCGGACGGGCGCGTCGCCGCCGTCGGCGGGGAAGTGGTCCCCGAAGGGCGTCACGGGCGACACGTCCGTCGCGTCGGACTCGTCGCGGCCGCACCGGCCGCCGCCGTCGCTCTCCGAGTCGGACGAGTCGGACGAGTCGCCGCGCCGCTTGTCCTCGACCTGGGCAGCACAAGGGTGATTCAACGTCGCTTCAACGTGAGTGTTCCGCGCGCGCGCGTTTCGGAAACAGCACCCACGCTTCGAGACCGTTCCGAGAGATGATCGCTCGTCCAAAAATCAGCCGAAACGAGTGGAAAACGGCCGAGAGAGGAGCCTTTGAAGTTGGGAATTTCGCTCTCTTGTCCTGCCCTGTCCTCGACGAGGTCCGCGAGCGTGCCCGCCTTCATCGCCGCGCGCACGGAGTCGCGCATGACCATCCAGTGGCCGTACGCGCGCACGCCCCGCCGCAGGATCTGGTAGTGCGCGCTGTCCAACAAGTACGTGAACTCGTCCGCGGACATGGAGTAGACGAGGCAGTGCGTCATCGTGCGCGCCATGTAGTCGCGGATGCGCTTCTTGCCGTCGACGAGGAGCGTGCAGACGTCCTTGCCGATGACGTTGTTCGCCTTGGGCGAGATGACCTCCTTGGACGCGATGGACTGGTCGTGCTGGTCGAAGACGACGGCGACGCCCTCGACCATGATGTACAAGATGTCGTTCCAGGAGATGCCCTGGTGCACGATGGTCTCGTGGGACATGAAGGACGTGCACTGCATGTGCAGGCTCAGCTCGCGGACCATCATCTGCACCTCGGACACGCACCGCGTCGCGTCGACGCCCTTGGCGCAGACGATGCGCTCGTGGTCGACGCCGGACTCGAAGTCGGGCAGGAAGTCGTCGTCGTACTCGACGTCGAAGGACATGCAGTCGTAGCCGCTCTGGACGACGTGGCCCGTGCGCGAGCCGTCGTTGTTCCGGTTGAGCGCCGCGCGGCGGCGCCACGTCTGGTTCACGAGCGACGCGCGCTGCGACCGCCGCTCGCCGGCGCCCTCGCCCTCCTGCTTCGGGACGAGCACGACCTTCTTGTTCCGGTCCGGGAGCACGTTGCACTGCGCGCCGCGCTTGATGTTCAGCGTGCGGCAGATCGAATACCGGAAAAACGGGATCCGCGTGATGTAGCGGCCGATCTCCTCCTTGGCGATGGTCTGCTGGAGCCCCGGGCTCAGGCTCAGGAGCATCTTCCGGTAGTAGACGTTGCGGAACATGGACGACGCGGAGACGAAGAACTCGCGGAGCTTCCGCTGCATCTCCGCCGGGAACTTGCGCTCCGCGGCGAACGCGTTGAGCGTGTCGACCGTGTTCTTGTACTCGATGGACGCCGGGTCGCTGTTGCCCAGGATCGCCGCGACCTCGCCGATCATGAAGGACGTGACGATGGTACCCAACAGCCCCGCGACCACCGCTAAGATCATCACCCCCAAAATGGGCGCGTCCGCGTCGCCCGTGAGCGCGCGCATGGCCCAGTGGAGCGCCGAGAAGTACTCCACGGTGACGCCCCGGCCCTTGACGATGATCATGTAGTCCTCGAGGCACGTCGGCGACGACGACCGCCGCGAGAAGCAGGGCGTGAGCACCATGCGGCAGCTGCACGCGAGCCAGTGGAGCACGACCACAATCAACAGCGACGCTCTTAGCACCGCGATGGTCTTGAAGCTCATGTGGAGCCGCGGCGCCCAGGTCCGCAGCACGCGGCCCACGCGCGCGACGCGTAGCAGCTTCAGCAGCCGCAGGACCTTCAACGTCCGCAGCAGCCGCAGCGACGACAGCGACTTCGCGTTCAGCACGTCGTAGGGCAGGATGGACAGCACGTCCAGCGCGAACCAGCCCCGGAAATAGTACTTGGCGATCTTGCGCCGGTCCAACACCCACTTGTTGAGCTTCGGGTCGAAGACGGCCGTGTTGAAGACGACGACCATGTCGGCGAGGAAGTAGAGGTCGACGAAGCGGTTCGCGACGAAGAGCACGAGCGTCCCCGGGCCGCACGTGTCCGTGAAGCAGCGCCAGCCGTCGTCGTCGCCGTAGAACGCGAGCTCCGTCGGCGTCACGATGGCCGCGTAGGCGATGAAGGGCGCTAGAAGCGCCTCCCAGTACGCGTAGCGCGCGCTCTCGGGGTCGAAGACCTGGAGGCCCAAAGCCTGCACGGGGAACTCGTCGTAGGCCCCGAAGGTGAGGACCTCCGTGGCGCGGTTCAGGCCCTCGCTCAGGTTGTCGCTCAGCTTCGACCCCAGGGACGCGCTCATGCTCAGCGACCCGTGGAGCGCGTACTTGCCGCCGCTGCCCTTGGCGCCGGCGGAGCCCGCCGGCGCCGCCGCCGCCGGCGACGGCGCCGGGTCCTCCTCCCCGAAGGACGACTTCTCCTCGACGAAGACGCGCTTCCCGCCCATCTCAGCGCACGGTCCCGAGGGGGTCCATCGTCATGGAGCTGCCGCTATAGTTAGTTGGCAAGATACACATATTTTCAACGTCGAGCGTTGCCGTGGGGGTGCTGCCCGTCCATCCAGTCGATGCCCCCCCGGGCAGCCGCGCCCGGATCCATGGCGCGCACGTCCACGCACTTCGAGAGCCTGCAGAGCACGATCCGCGACGCGACCCACAGCGTCGACGCCCACGTCATCAAGCCGACGGAGCACCGCCTCCACCTCGTGAAGCAGGCGGCCTACAGCGCCCTGGGCGTCGTCCTGCGGGGCGGGCGGAGCTTCCGGCGCGTCGACGTCGACGCGCCGGCCTTCCGGCCGCCGCGGCCCGACGACGTCGCGATCATCGCCCAGAAGGCGCCGCGCGGCGAGCACCGCCACTACTACGCGTCCGACGCGTACGGCGACCGCGGCCGCGCGCGCGCGGCGTACGCGGCGCTGCCGCCCGTCGAGGACCGCTGCGAGCGGGGCACGGCGGCCTACGCGCTCTTCACGCGGCCGGGGCCGGAGTCCAAGTGGTCCCTGGAGGAGAGCGCGGGCACCGACGTCGACGTCGCGCTCCTCGTCCGCTGGGTCGAGGTCGGCACGTACGCGGTCTTCGAGGCGCCGCTCATGCGCCTCGTCGCGACGGCGGGCGGCCTGTTCCTGCGGGCGCTGCTCTGGCTCGGCTACCAGCGGCACCAGCCCCAGATGCGGCCCCACAGGGGCATGCGGAAGGGGTTCCTGCTCGTCGTGAACGCGGTCTTGGACGCGGCGTGGCCCTGGCTCCGCGCGCTCATCAACACCCAAATCAAGGTCAACGTGCGGTCGTCCGTGAACCACGTCATCGCGAACCTGCCGAAGAAGCCCATCGCGTCCATCTTCTCCCTCGACTTCGACATCGGCGAGGCGCCGCCGCAGATCACGTCCATCGCGCTCGCGTCGTCGTTCAGCGGCTACGAGTACCTCGACCTCGACGTGGGCTTCGTGCTCCACGGCGACGACGTCCACCTCGACGCGGAGATCGTCGTCGGCGGCGACGACCAGCCCGACGTCCGCGCGACCGTGAGCCGCTTCGCGATCGACGGCGCGCCGCGGGGCCGCGAACGGGCGATGCAACGTCGCTTCAACTTCAGTGTGTCGCGCGCGATGGTTTCGGGGAACGCATCGACGCGTCGAGAGCGCTCCGAGAGATCATCGCTCGTCCCAAAATGAGCCGAAACGAGTGGAAACTGACCGAGAGAGGAGCCTCCACAGTTGGTTCACACTCTTGTCCCGCCAGGCACGCTGCGCCTCAAGCTCGGGCCGAGCATCGCGCCCCTGCCCTGCGTCGACGCCATCCGCCTCGGCTTCACGGCGAAGCCGACGATCAAGATGGACACGCACTTCCACATCCACGAGACCGTCGGCATCCCTGTCGACGTCGGCGTCAAAGCCTTGGACCGGTTCCTGAACCGGCTCGTGGAGAACGTCGTCGACAACTTTCTGTGCTGGCCGAAGCACGTCGTCATCCCCCTGGCGTCGACGCTGCTGGGGCCCGACTTCGAGCCCGACGCGGGCGCGGCGGCGCCCGCGCCGCCCATCGGCACGCTGCACGTCAAGGTCACGCGGTGCCGCGACCTCATCAACAACGACCTCGTGACGGGGGGGCAGTCGGACCCCTACGTCATCGTCTCCGTGGGGCAGCGGGAGTTCCGCACGCCGACCATCGACGACGTCGCGGACCCCGTCTGGGCGAGCCCGGAGGCGTGGGCGTTCCCCGTCCACGAGAGTAGCCAGTCCGTGCAGCTGCGCGTCTACGACGCCGAGGACGACCACTTCGCCTTCAACGACGCCCTCCTCGGCGTCGCCAACGTCCAGATCGACGAGCTCGCGGCCATGATCGCGGACGCGCGCGGGTCGCAGCTCGACCGCGCGGCGCCGCGCGGAACTCAAATCTTCAACCCGACTTCAATGTGCGCGTATGCGACGGTTTCGACGCGAGCTCTTTCGCTGTGCTTCGAGGACTCGACGAGAGCGATCGATTCGTCCCAAAATCAGCCGAATCGACGTCGAATTGATCGAGAGAGAGAGGTTTGAAGTGGTCGCTGGACAAGGCACTGGTTGATGTCCACGCAGGCGCGGCCGGGTCGCGGAAGAGCAAGCGGCGCTACTCGACGTCGCTCATCGAGCACGCCGTCGAGGTCGACCTCGTGCTCGACACGTCCGTCTACAACGGCAAGTCGAAGAGCGTGGTCCTCATGTCGCACCGCGCGTCGAAGCCCTCGAAGGTCTTCATCGAGGCCCACTTCGTCCGCGCGGCCGAGGCCGTCGCGGACGACGCGCGCGCGAAGCACCGGCCGGGCCTCGCCGCGGTCCTCGCCCGGGCCGGCGCCTACGTCGCCGCCGCGACGGCCGCGGCGCTCGCGGGCTGCGCGGCCGCGCGGCCCGCGGCCGCGCGCGCGGCCGCGGCCGCCGCGGGCGCGGCGGCCATCTGGCTCGCGGCCACGGCCCTCGCCTGCCTCGCCGCCCTCGGCGCCCTCGGCTACGTCGAGACGCACCACGGCACGGGGGCGCACTAAGAGGCGGGCGCCCAGCGCGCTTGGGCCCCGAGTCGTCGAAGTGAGGGACCCCTCAGGGACCCCGAGTCGTCGGAGTTAGGCGCGTTCCCAGGGCACGCGCCGCGCGTGGAGCGAGAAGGTCCGGAGTATGGCGGGGCCCCCGAGGCTCCGGAGGCACGCGAAGCGCGCGCGCGTCGCGTTCGCCGCCGGCAGCGCCGCGTCGATGCGCTTGTGGCCCACGCGCGCGTCGCGGGGGTCGTGGCCGTCGGGGCGGTCCCCGAGCGCCGACGCGTTCGCGCGGACCAGCGGCACGAGCGGGCGCCAGACGCCCGGCGCGTCCGCGGACTCGTACTCGACGCTGTAGTTGGCGATGCGCTGCCCGCGCGCGAGGTCCTCGGCCGAGACGACGTAGTCGACGGCCGCGCCCGGTGGCACGTCGAGCACCGCGTAGTCGCCGCCGCCGCAGTGTAGCGTCGCCGGGCCGGCGAGCGAAGCGACGGCGCTGCCGAAGGTGTCGTTGAGGGCCCGGCCGACGTCGCGCATCACCGCGGCGACGGACGCGTTCATCTTCCCCGTGCGCTCCGGCGCGATGTTCATGCTACGACACCCATGATGAAACGAGGAAACGAGAAAGACGCCGCGAAACGCGCTTGAGCACCGCGCCGCGCCCCACGGTCTCGAGCACGGACTCGAAGAGGCGCGACGCGTTGCCGTGGCCGACCCAGGGGCACCCGCTCACGTTGCCGGCGCAGGCCCAGGGGTGCCAGAACCAGTAGGTCGGGGCCGCGTCCGTGTTGCCGTCCGGGCCCTCCTGCATCGTGACGCCGTGCATCTCGGTGGGATAAAACGTCGTGCCGTTCTCGCGGTGCGCGGCGCACTTGCGCGTGTCGCTCGTGTTCGGCGCGGGGCCGTCGGCCGTGTAGAGCGTCTGCCCCGCCGACGCCGCGCACACGTCTCCGCGGTAGGCGGAAATTAAGGTCGACGGGCTCGTCGCGCGGATCTCGGCGTAGACCTAACACGAGTCAGGTTTCCCGAATCTCTCGAACATGGCGTCGTACGCGGACCACCAACGCGGTCCCAGAGCTCCGCGAGGTCCGTGCCGTCCGGGACGCCGACGGTGCCGTCGAACCAGAACCGGTTCACGGGCCCGTACCGCGTCAAAACTTCGCGGACCATGCCCACCTGGCGCTCGACGAAGTCCTCGGGCGCGCGCTTTGCGACTTTGGTCATGTAGCCGTCGTCCTGGACGTTGAGGTAGTAGCAGATCGCGACCTACCGAGTGCGGTCGGATTTCTTCGCATCTTCAGGCGAAATTCGCGCGAAAAGGCACTCCTGTCGCTCGACGCTGATCTTCACGCCCCAGCGGTTCGCGGCGTCGGCGAACTCGCGGAGCACGTCGCCTTTTCCGCCGCGCCAGCTCGACGCCGCGACGGAGTACTCCGTGTAGTTCGAGGGCCAGAGCGCGAAGCCGCCCTCGTGGTGCGCCGTGAGGCAGATCTCCTTCATGCCCATGGCCGTGGCGTGGCGCATCCAGTCGTCCGTGTCGAGGTCCGTCGGGCGGAAGAGGTCCGGGCGGAGGCACGGGTAGGAGCCGCGCGTCTGGTTGCCGCGGTCGATGGACGTCGTCGTGCAGTCGTGGTACGTCGGGTTCTTCGTGTGGAGGAAGTCCGCCGGCGGGTCCCAGAACGTCGGGAGGCCGAAGTGCATGAACTGCGACATCTCCAGCGCCATGAACTCGAGCTGCCGCGCGTTCGGCAGCGGCACCGCGGCCGCGGCGGCAGCCCCCAAGACCACCGCGGCGGCGGCGGCAGCCCAGAGGAGGGCGGAGCGCATCGTGATTCTTCGTCTTGGGTCGGCGTCGTGGTTCAACTGGCCGATGTTGACGCAGTTGAAGGCGCATGCTGGGCCCGGCCGCGATGATGTGTCGAGGCATTGTCACATGCGCCGCGATCCTCGTCGCTTCGGCGTACCCCGAAGAGCTCGAATGCTCGAGGGCGCTCGGCCTCGGCGAGCGATACATGGGCAAGGACGCCGCCGCGAGCGCCACGTTCCTCCGCGTCGTCGACGCCGCCGGGACGGTGGTGCCCTGCGGGTCGACCGTCGCCGCGGGGACGGCACTTACGGTCATGATCGATGGCCTCGATCCCGCCGTCGACCAGTACGTGCTCGAAATCGACGGCGCTTCTTTCCTCGCGGGCCCGTGCGACCGGACGCGGTCGAACGACGCCGCCGGCGAAATCGCGCTCGCGGCCGGCGAGACCGCGTCGCTCCTCGGCGCCCACGCGCACAAGTACGGCGTCGTCTCCATCACGGAATCCTGCTCCCTCACGGCCGCCGCCGCGCCGACGCGCGAGCCGACGCCGCGGCCGACGCCGCGGCCCCTTCCGCGGCCGACGCCCGCGCCGACGCTCCGGCCGACGCCCGCGCCGACGGCCGCGCCCGAGCCGACGGCCCGGCCGACGCCGCGCCCGACGAAGACGCCGACGACGCCGTCGCCGTCCGTGTCGCCGACGACGTCGCCGCCGTCCGTGTCGCCGACGCCCGCGCCGTCCTTTTCGCCGACGCCCGCGCCGACGGCGACGCCGACGCCCGCGCCGACGCCCGCGCCGACGCCGGCGCCGACGTTCGCGCCGACGCCCGCGCCGACGCCGACGCCGAGCCGGGCGCCGAGCCCGCGGCCGACGACGCCCGCGCCGACGGCGGCCGCGGCGACGCCCGCGCCGACGGCGCTCCCGACGACGGCGCCGCCGTCGCCCCGGCCGACGCCGGCGCCGACGGCCGCCCCGACGCTCCGGCCCACGCCCGTGGCGGCGGCGCCGACGCCGCGGCCCGCCGCGCCGACGGCGGCGCCGACGGCGGCCCCGCGGGTCCGCGGGTCCGCGACGGTCGACGGCGTCGACGCGGAGGCAGCGGCGGCCGACGAGCGCGTCTTCGCCGCGGCCGTCGCCGCCGTCGCCGCCGTCGACGAGGCCGCCGTCGAGGTCCTCTCCCTCTCGTCCGCGCGGCGGCGCCGGCTCGGCGCCGGCGTCGTCTTCGACTTCGAGATCGCGGCCGCCGACTCTTCGGACGCCGACGCCGTCGTCGCGCGCCTCGTCGCCGCGTCGCCGGCGGACGTCGACGCCGCCCTGCGCGCCGCCGCGGCGGCGGCGGGCGTCGCGGAGCGCTTCGCGGCGGCGTCGACGGCGTCCCTCGACGCGTGGCTCAAGGGGTCGCCGCCGGCGCCGACGGCCGCGCCGACGGCGGCGCCCGCGACGGCGGCGCCGACGCCGCGGCCCTCCACGGCCGCGCCGAGCCCGGCGCCGTCGCCCGAGTTCCCGGCGGACGACGACGTCGCCGCGGCCTGCGCGCCGGAGCTCCGGGCCGCGTTCGCCTGCTGCTACCGCGGCGGTTTCGCGGGCGCCGCGGCTTCGGCGGACGACGGCGGCGCGCGTTCCCGCACGAGACCTGCGCGGCCGCGGCCGCGAGCGCGCGCTTCGCCGAGGACTGCGACGGGCCCTGCGGCGACGGCTGCGCCGGCGTCTGGGACGCCTACACGGAGTGCACGTGGAACTTCGAGTCGCGCGACGCGCTCGGCGCGTCCTGCGGCCTCCGCTGCGCCGACGCGGCGCCCCTCTCCGACGGCGCGGCGCGGCGGTCCGCCGGCCTCCTCGCCGCGATCGTCGTCGTCGTCGGGGTTATGACTTAGGGTGTTTTCATTTGGGTTGGAAGGGGTTTAGACACGGCAAAACAGCGATTTTGCCGCTCGCGAGCCGTGTGTTTCCTCTGCTGATGCTCATACGAGTTGCCGATGAAGTCGATGCGCTGCTGGGCGCTCATCGTGCTCGCGCACGTCGTCCGTTGCAAGCTCGATTGGGCCCGGCATGGAACCATCGAGGAGTTTCAGCGGGACACGCCCCGATACACGTTGCGCTGTCCACTCTTCAAGGGCGCCGACCTCTCTGAATCACGTCGAAAGTGGTTCTTGCCCGTGCGGCACAAGAATAAGAGCTACCGATGGACGGCGAAACACGCGAACGCGTGCGTCGGCGGCGCGATCGAGGCGCCCTCGCCCGCGGCCGCGCGCGCCGCGCTCCGGGGCCAGACCGTCGTCTTCGCCGGCGATTCGCTCGCGCTGCAGAACTATTTGAGCATGGCGGCCCTGCTCGTCTGCGACGGCGACGACGGCGTCGAGTTTCAAAGACCCGAGGGTCGGCTGTCGACGACGTTCCTCCCGCGCGACAACGTCACGGTACGCTACGTCCAGGCGAACCTCAGGGCAGCACAAGAGAGCGAAATTCCCAACTTCAAAGGCTCCTCTCTCGGCCGTTTTCCACTCGTTTCGGCTGATTTTTGGACGAGCGATCATCTCTCGGAACGGTCTCGACGCGTGCATGCTTTTCTCGTGACGCGCGCGCGCGGAACACTCACATTGAAGCGACGTTGAATCACTCTAGTGCTGCCCAGGCGAACTTCGGCGTCGAGACGGAGCGCGGCGCGGCCGCCGGAGAGGCCTGGTTCAAGGACCATCGCGGGAAAAAACAGCAGATCAAAGCCACGGGATCGACGACCGTCGTGCGGCCCTGGGCGTCGCCGGCGATCCACCGGGACCTCGCGCGCGCGATCGACGACTACGCGAACACGACGAAAGTGACCTACTTTGTGAACTTTGGGCACTGGGTCTCCTCGATACGGTCCGACGTGCAGTTCTTCGACGCGGCGGGGCCGCTCCGGGACGACCGTCGGATCTTCGCGTACGAGGCGCTCCTGAAGGCGACGTCGACGGCGATCGCGCGCCGCCTCGCGCCGACGCAGCGCGCGGTCTTCAGCTCCTACGTGCCCGGGCGCCACGACTCGGCGGACGAGGCGTGTTCGGAGGACGGGCTCCGCTGGGGCGCGGCCGCGCGGCGCGGCGTCGGCAAGCGGCTGGACCACGACGGCGTCTACTTCCTCGACGCGTCCTGCCCCCTCGCGCGCGTCCCCGAGTCGGCCTACGCGGACGGCGACATCACCCACGGCCACCTGCCCGGGGCGCCGGACCTCGACTCCGCGCTGCTCGCGCGCCTCCTGGCGTGCTACCCGGGCCGCCCGGGCTAGATAGTCGAATTAGGACGCGTCGCTGTCGGAGGACGAGTCGGACGCGCTCTTGTGCTTCTTCTTCTTGTGCTTCTTCTTGTGCTTCTTCTTCTTCTCCTTCTTCCGCTTCTTGCGGTCGGGCCCGTCGTCGCCGCCGCGCGCCGTGAGGCGCTTGAGGAGCGCCTTCTTCTCGCGCGGCGAGAGGGACGCGAGGAGCCGGGCCTCGCGGTCCTCCGCGGTCTCCGGCGCGGGGTAGTCGTCGGCGTCGTCGACGAGCTCGTAGCCCGCGTTGTCGACGCCGTGGGCCGGCGGCGCGCCGTCGGCCGCGTAGGACCGCGCGACGGACGCCTTCAAGACGAGGCGCTGCTTCGCGTCCTGCGCCGCGGCGGCGACGTCCGCGGACGTCGCGTTGCGGCGCCGCTCCGCCGGGTCGACGTCGCCGTTTAGCGGCGCCCGCGGCGCCGCGGCCGGCGGCGGCGCCGCGGCGGCCGCGCGCGCGGTCTCGTGGGGGTCGAAGCCGTTCATGGGGCACTCGCGGTCGCGCGCCTCGTGGCCCCACTCGCCGCAGCGCGTGCACCGCACGTTGCGCAGCTGCTTCCCAAAGGGCTGGAACGTGAGCTTGACGCTGTCCGCGTAACTCCCCTCCACGGGCGCGCCGGCGAGCTCGGGGAAGCGCTCGACCTGCTCCGCGCGCGACGGGCCCGCGCGGTTCCGCCCGCCCGTCTCGCGCTCGAGCGCCGTCGTGTGGCCCGCGGCGGAGAACGCGCCGTCGCGGCCCCGCTTCCGCGCGTCCTCCTTGGCCCGGCGCCGCGCCTCGAACGCGAGCGCCGCGGCGTCCATGGACGCCTCGCGCGCCTCGCCCGCCTCGTCCTTCTCCTTGAGCCCGGGCGGCGCGCGATACATGAAGTCCATGGACCCGTCGCGCGTCTCCGCGGCGCCCTGGAGCGCGCCGAAGGCCTCGTCCTCGCGCTCGCGCTGGAGCTCCTCGGCGCGCTCCTTCGTCAGGCGATCCTCCTCCGCCGCCTTCTGCTCCGCGACCCAGACCGCCTTCTGGTTCGCGTAGGTCGACGGGTGCCAGGGCTTGTTGTGCAGAAAGTTGCCGATGCCGCCCATGGTCGGCTACGCGCTGTCGCGATTCCCTCCCTCAGGCCATCGTCTGCCTCGCCGCGGCTCGAATGGCTCGATCACTGCATCATCGCCTTTTGCCGCAAGCGAAAGACAGAGACAGCTCGTCCGCCACCCACCTCGGTGACTTGGATCCCGGCGTGGACCTGCCGCCGGCGACCATGGCAGCGCCAAAGAAGCACCTCACGGCCATGGACCTCGCCATCGACGGCATCATGCGCCCGCCGGCGTCCCGCGACCCTTTCCGGCTCCCGTCACCCCTCATGGAAAACGCAGGCACCGCAAGACGCGCTACGGGTCCTGGAAGGAGCGCTACTTCCGCACGGAGGGCTACGACCTCATGTACTACACGGAGAACCTGAACCTCATCAAGGCGAACCGGCTCCAGGGCAAGACGAAGGGCCCCTACCAGTTCAAGCCCGTCGGGTCGCCGTCGGAGACGATCGACCTGAGGAACAGCGACTGCCGCATCGAGCGCCTCGAGGACGACGCGACGGTCTTCCTCATGAAGCACCTGGGCAAGGTGTTGGAGGTCAAGGCCCAGGACGAGGCCCAGTGCGAGCGCTGGCTCGAGGTCGTCCAGAACATCATCGACACGGAGCGGTCGAAGCGGAAGCAGGTGGGCACGCTCAAGGTCGCGGTCGACGGCTGCTTCCTCGTCGGCGGGCGCCTCGCCTCCGAGGGCGAGGAGGGCCCGCGCCACTGCTGCCTGAGCTTCAAGCTCCGCGACGAGACCGTGACCAGCGACGCCGCGGAGATCGCGGTCGACGACGCGCTGAGCTACGAGAATTTGGACGAGTCGCACGACGCCGTCGGCCGCGCGCCCGTCGCCCTCGAGGCCGAGCTGCCCATCTGGCAGACGTCCATGGCCATGGAGTGGAAGCTGAGCGAGACGGGCGGCCACCGCAAGTCGGAGGCGCCCGAGGGCGGCCACAAGAAGCGGCGGTCGTCCGTCGCGGCGTTCGCGGCCGTCGTCCAGTCGGCGCTCGCGACCAAGGAGGACGACGGCCCCTGCGTGCGCACGACGACCTTGTTCGAGCTCCAGGCGGAGAACGCCATCACCTACATGGGCGCGCACCGCCGCTACGTCGCGAGCGACGCCGAGCAGTTCGACCACGCGACGGCCGCGTCCTCGCTCGAGGGCGACGTCTCCGCGGACCCGTTCTGGCCCGCCTTCGCGCCCGACGGCAAGGCGCCCAAGCCCGGCTGGCGCTGGTACGCGCTCTACGACCGCGACGTCGACGAGGACAAGGCCGAGGGCGCCAAGGACGAGGACCGCCCGCTCCGCGTCCGCGCCTTGCTCCACGCGAAGCTGTCCTACTTCGAGAACGTGATCAACGTCGTCGACCCGGACGGCCACCCGCGCTACGAGGCCCAGGACGACCACGAGGAGTTCAAGACGGACCTGTTGACGGGCGGCATGACGCGGCTCAGCGACGTCGCGGACGACTTCGCCGCGCTCGGCAACTTTCTGGGCGAGCTGCTGGCCTGGGACAAGCCCTTCAACTCCTTCGTCGGCTGGCTCGTCCTCGCCGGGTCCATCGTCGCCCTGCCGGACCACAGCGCGCTCGCCATGTTCCCGCTCTTGATGCTCCTCGTGCTCGTGCTGGGGCTGCCCAAGGCGCTCCGGGGCGGCCGCGTCCGCGAGCTCGTGTCCCACTCCGCCGAGGACGACGCGCCCGGCGCGTCCCACGACCGGGAGGTCGTGAAGCGGGCCATCGCGGAGATCAACGTGAGCGTGCTCAAGGGCCGCCATCTGGTCGCCGCCGACCAGCACCTCACGACGAAGCACTCGTCCGACCCGTACTGCGTCGTCATCTCGTTGCCGCCGCCGCCCATGCGCTTCGCGGACCACAAGCTCAGCGAGATGCTCATCGGCGTGTCGTCGGTCAAGTCGAAGACGCTGGACCCGGAGTGGCTCAACCCGGGCGCGGCGGCCGACGCGTACGACTTTGGGGCCGACGACCGCGCGTCCTCGTCCGCGTCCTCCGACTCGCACCTCGACAGCTTGCTCGCCTTGCTCGCCCCGTCCCTCCACAACGAGGGCGGCGCGGCGGACGTGCTCGGCGACGTCTACGACGCGTCCGCGAGCCGCAACGCCGCGCAGCTCTCGGCCGCGTCCGTGAAATACTACGGCGACTGCGTGCCGCCGCCCATCGACTTTCGGAGCAAGTGGCGGCCCGGCGCCTACGGCGGCGTGCCCAGCGAGGCGTCCTGGACCTACCCGGTCATGCAGGAGGTCGACGACTCGGGCGTCGTGCCGTGCCTCGTGCCCTGGGAGGACTCGAAGTCGGCGACAGGGCGGGAAAAGAGAGCGACATTCCCAACTTCAAAGGCTCCGATCTCGGCCGTTTCCCACTCGTTTCGGCTGATTTTTGGACGAGCGATCATCTCTCGGAACGGTCTCGAAGCATGGATGCTTTTTTTTGCGGAACGCGCGCGCGAACGCTCATGTTGAAGCGACGTTGAATCTCTCTTTTCCCGCCCAGGTCCGAGATCGCCGTCGAGGTCTACGACAAGGACGTGACCCAGACCGACGACTTCCTCGGCGCCGCGCGCATCTCGCTGGCCGACCTCGTGGCCGCCGAGTCGGGCGTCGTCGTGGGCTGGCTGCCCCTGGAGCTCTCCGGCGACGCGGCCAAGGACGCGACGCTTTTGGGCGCGGAGCCGACGGACGGGCCGCACGCGTACGGCGAGGTCTTCGTCAAGGCGTCCATCCGACTCCTGGACAACTCGACGTCGCAGACGGCGAACTGGCAGTACGAGCAGGCGCTCTGCAAGTCGCTCCTGGAGCCGACGTTCAAGATCAAGGAGGAGAAGGGCGCGGGCTACATCGGCCAGTACAAGAGCGCGACCCGCACGATGAAGTCCATGCAGGACAGCGTGCTCTTCATGGCGGCGCAGCTCGAGCGGGTCCACGCGCTCTTCACCTGGGCCCACCCCATGAAGACGGGCCTCATGTTCTTCGGCCTGCTCTGCGGCATCGCGGCGATGTGCGTCACTGTGTGGAATTCAAATCTTCAACCCGACTTCAATGTGAGCGTATGCGACAGTTTCGGCGCACAGTCTTCGGCTGTGCTTCGAGAACTCGACGAGAGCAATCGATTCGTCCAAAAATCAGCCAAATCGACTTCGATTTGACCGAGCTAGAGAATTCTGAAGTTTGGTCAGGACCACCCAAACCAGTGGTTGAATTCCACACAGGTGCGTCATCCCGAACAAGCTCTGCGTGTCGGGGTTGATCACGAAGCTCTTCTTCAAGGGCCTGTGCAAGAAGCTGCGGGGCCACGACGAGAGCGAGATCGTCACGCCGGACCCGACGGACATCCAGATGGCCAACATGTTGAATTCCCTGCCGACGGCGCCGCAGACCGCGCAGGCCATGGCCGTGAAGCGGAAAGTATGGAAGGCGCAGCACGAGCGCGAGCTCAACCGCGTGCGCATCAACCTGAACTTCGCCTTCCGCGTGCGCTGCCAGTTCCGCTGCTACGTGCTCGACTACCACAAGCTCTCCCAGGGGAAGGGCGCCGCGGCATCCGCGGCCGACGGCAAGGAGAACGGCTCGGGCGCGGCGAAGCTCAAGCACGCGGCGGCGTCCTGGGCGCCGGCCTACGTCGCCGTCGTCAACGGCCTGGTGCTCGTCTGGCCGAACCTCGACTCCGCGGCGTCGAACAAGAAGCCCGCGACGTCCCTCGTCATCGCGGGGCCCGCCGTCGCCGCGGACGCGCGCTACCTCCCGCCGCCGAAGCCGGGCACGAAGCTGCTGAGCGTGGCGTCGACGGCGGGCCGCGACAAGAAGATCCGCGACTTCGAGATCTCCCTCAAGGTCGAGATGGTCGTGGCCTTCGCGGACGCGGTCTACGCGGAGCTCACCGAGGGCCAGGCGGGCAAGCCCGACGCCGACGGCCAAAAGCTCAAGGTCAACTAGACCGGTGTTTTTATCCCGGCGCGGCCCGCCGCCGCCGCGA